CAAGTCACTTGGAACCTTGTCCTCTGACATTACCCGTTAACTTTAAGGGCTATTCTACCTTGAGTGAGTTCGTCACCTGAGTACATGAAAAAAAGGCTTAATAACAATTAAATACTAACGACTTGACAGCATATATTCGTCCCTCCGCAAGAACCAGTAACCACTATCCATCCGCTACAGATTGCTCCAAAAGGTATACACGTGTATCTGCATGGATGGATCAATGGTGATCTCCTTACTTGCTTTTTCATTGTTCCTGTAAGAACCAATTAAATTATCTTCAGTGTTTCAGTACCAACAGTATAAGCATTTAACTCATACACAAATTTATCGTCACACAATCTCCACGGTTTTAAAATGCACCTGTCGTATTAAACAGCCCCTTATTTCTTTCTGATGTAACTTACTTGCTTTCCATCTTGCCTAATCATTTATTCATCAGGGGCAGATCCAGGAAGACGTAACTGGTAACTGACAGGTGACGTAGACAAATTTTAAAAGCGAAGAACGAAGAAGAAGGCTTATGGCTGGCAATAACACGGTGTGAAATTTTCTTTAACCATGAAGTTATATTAGAAAGCTGCAGTTTATCTGGGGGAGGGGAGGGGGGAGGTGTGCACCCCCTGCACTCCTCCCTTCGATCTGCCCCTGCTCGGTAACATTCCCACTTACCTGCCAAAATTTCGATGTGCGCGCGTATAATTACTCTAATGATTTACTTAGTGTACTCATGTACTATCTAATCAGGCTGAACGTCACCTTTACCTGACAATGGGGTTGCCTCCAAAGCAATAGCTGTCAAAAGCAGCAAAATACAAACACTTTTAACGATAGACATGTTGTGCCTGAGCCCTGGTTAAAAACAAAAACATTACAAAAGATATCAGTGTTCGTTAACATCTGTCCATAAAAACAGGTGTTCCTGTCACAGTCCTAAATTTCCGAGTCACTTTTTCCAAACACTTACGCTTACATCCTCAGTGATCACTTAACTGTAAGAAAAGTATTTGCGCATGATTTGGATTGATCAATCGCTAAATTCTCGCAAAAGTCATTAGAAAAAAGAATTATCTTTTCGCCTGTGTGCACATTCCTCTGTGCGTCTCTATGCAAGCCATAACCTCCGTATTTCCCCTAACACAGAGACAATAAATCTTGGATTTTTTAACATACGTTTGCAAATATACATTTGCCCTTCATCTACTTCCGAATTACTTGTCTTAGAAAGCTAGTAAAAAAGATCATTTCAATAAAGAAAGAGAATCCGAAGGTTTTTTCTAAACTAAATATACAAAATAACGCAAAGGAGTTTCCTTACCTCGGCTTTTTCAAATTTTTTTTTCAACGTAACCTCCACGCGATCTAAGAAAGAATAATCTTACAGGGTAATTTTCCACTGATTAATGGCCGACGGGGTGTAGCAGGTGAAGTAGGGAATAATAACGTAACGTTTTGTCATTGGTCAAACTTCCTTCCCAATAACGATTAGTTGCTGATATTGGTTGCTTTTGTTGTTTTCGTTCCTTTCTTTTTTCAGAACAATACTTCCATTATAACAAAACTTACAATAAGCATTAGTTCAAAAATATATCTGTAGAAATTCGATTCCACTGAGTAACTCTTACTCCGTTGGGTGCGATTTAAAGAAATGAGCTCGTATCTATAGGAATACTTGAGGTAATACGGCACATACATTAAAGGTCTCGTTGAAGAATGCACTTACCTCTGAGTTGTTTAAAACCAATTAATTAGTGTAGTTAGAACGATAGCATGATTGAAGCCCTTTGTAATTTAATTTATCTTTATGGAATTTCGCATCCATTTGTCTTTTTTAGCACCTTCACTTCGTTCAAAGGTGAAAAAGAAATTCGCTTACCTTAGTCTGTTGAAAATTAAGTCTTTCCTTTCATTTCTTTTTTAAAAACAATACTACCATCATTACGCAACTAGTTTGTGTTCTCGGGCATAAATATGTTTTGGGCCAGACTCAGAGTCGTTGCAGCCCGAGCCGTGAGGCGAGAGTTAAAATGAGCCTTAAGAAGGGCCCAAAACATATTTATGTCCAAGAATATAAACTCTTTTTATTATTGTTATCATGACTTTGGAAGTCATTGAGGGACTAAGGAATAAGAACTGAAAAAAAAAAAAAAAAAAAAAAAAAAAAAAAAAGATTGCAAGAAACAATTTAAACAATAACTCAATCGTACGTGCGTCAGCCAGAATCTCCATTTTAGCCCGCCAAAATGCGCCATACTGCGCGACAAAGGGATAATAAGTATCATTGTGATGAAAAATGGCTGGGTCAATTGCATTCCGTTAAGTCTCTCTCGCCTCCTTGGATGCCGTGTGATATTAGAATTTATGAAGAAAATGCACTTGTCTCTGTGAACTACTTAGCGCAATTGAAGCGATAAAATGATCTAAGCTTGAGATATTTCAATTTTTCCTTTATTCAATAGTGTATTTATTTGTCATTTTCAGCACCTTTGGTTTTTGGGAAAAAAAAGAAAAAGAAAGAGGGAGCGCAAAAAAACTCAAATCTTAATTTTTCGTTGAGTATTCGAATTTTCACTTATTTTGATATTTGAAAGAAAATCGTCACGAAGGCGGGAGGAACACACTCAGAGAGTACTAAAACCAAATAATTTCCTTTTTCCTGGTTTTCCTCTCTTTCATTTTCATGGGGAAAATACCGTCGAACCTTTATTTAGCGGTCACTCATGGGAATTGGTTTAAATACAAGTTCCACAAAAGAGGGGTCAAACACGATAAAAGAAGTGCTCTTTCATTTCCTAAGTGGCCACTTAACGGTGCAGTCAATTCCATAACCTGCTCAAAAATGCACTGACTCTTCGTTTGTAAATCAGTAGCATCGACAAAATGGCGGCGCAACGTAAAAAAAAACAATAAAGTAGAATTACTGACGCAGTATACAAAGAGTTTAGAAACAGGATCAATAAGGATCATTGACGGCGATGGAGAATTATCCGTTAAGTTACTATGATTTTAACCGCCGGGCTTATCAGTGTTAAGTGCTGACTCGGGAATTAAGTCCGTTGTATTATTATTGACTCTATCAGAAATCGTGCAAACTATGAATGTTGTTGATGAAAATTCTCACTGCGATTTGTGGTAATTTTGGATTCGACTTAAGATAATTATCATCACTTGACTTTGAAGCTACCGGCGCCACGTCAATAAACATTGTTAATTAGTGGTCTTAACCCCTTCGACAGGATGTGGTTGAAAAATTCATTCCCTCCACCGCAAAAACATCCATGAAAATTTCTAAAATAGAATATCTGAACCTTCAATTTGAATCCTTGCCAAAAACCAAATCTCTCCCCTACTGTCTACTTTTTATTTTTTGTTCTAACCCTGGAAGTTTTCCGTTGTTTTCGTGCTGACGTTTTGCTTATCCCCTAATTTTCTTCCTTGATGTAATTACCCTTTTTTCTTGGAGAACATTCTACTCTCTACCAATCAATCAATTAAGTTAAGGTGTCAAAGTGTGGGAATGTTTTTCCAACGTTATTTCGTGTTTATATCTGAAAAGAAAATACTGCCACAGTGCCTATCTACTCAGTTGAGTTTGAGTGAGGAGTTAGCAGGTACATACAAAGTTTATATTAAGCCATGGGGTCTGTTGTATCCAGAACAAACCGATACTCAAACTTAAACAAGTTCACTGAACAAAACATTAATGTCAAAAGCGGGACAGAGAGCAAAGAATTTCAAACACGGCCCAATGCATCAACCTCGGTAAACATCGACGAAAGACACGAAACTTCTGCGAGCAGTAACCCTGATTTTTCTCCTCCAAAGGTGGTCCCGTCATACTCTTGGCTAATCTCATCACCTGTTGATTTGGAAACCGCTGCTCAAGAATTAAGTGAAAGAGCGAAACATTCCGTGCAGTCAAAGAGTGAGAAGAAACACTGTGTAGGATTGTATCACAATGAAAGGTTCCAAACGCCTTGCGAAAACACAGTGGCTGAGCTATCACCCTCGAACATGAAAAAAAAGATACCGAGGAACCAGCCTGGTTCGCCGTCCTGTGCGGCTTGTAAAGCAAACAAACAGGCAACCCATGTAAGCCCGTCGCTGACTCCAGAACTGAGTTGCGGTGCAGATACCTTGCCGCTAAGACGTAGCAGTGTTCCCTTTGGTTTTGGAGCCGAGAGACCAGCGACGTTTTCGGGATCCTCCCACCAAGATTCCGTAAAAAGTAAACAGGGCCTATGCAGAGAAAAAAATCTGCTTAAAACCGAAAGGGGAACAAAACTGTGTCAGGCAAAGTCTGTCTAATAACAATGTTCTTGCTCTCTTAGTTGGTAGTGATGTAATTATGCGTCTTGGTATTGTTATTATTATTTTTTGTCTAATATAAACATAAAATTTTATTTAATAGCAATAAAATCTCCAAGATTCCGTTTAATTCATTGTGATTCATATGGTTTTTATTCCAACCCGGAAGATAACTGAGTCGTTTAATTGTGATCGAATAGCAACAACATGGAGAGTAGTTTCGTGCGCCTCACTCTCAGCGTTCCGAAAGACGAGCTAACACCAATTATGTTTTTCACTGAATCATGTTGACGACTACGCCGAAAAGCATAGATTTCTCGTAGTCTAGTCCTAACCTTACCCTTATGTCATTCGTCCACTTATGTTGATCGTGAAAAAATATTCTGCTGTTGGAAAGCCCAAAGCCAGGGGTGAATTCAGCAGTTTACATGAGTGATTTGCATCAACTTAACTAAGGGCAAAACAAGAAGGACAATTGACTTCATGAACTAATAAAGAACCTGAGAAATAATAAATTTAGGTTTGGAAACATTTGAGTGATTTCTGGAAATCACTCGAACTACTCTGGATCCAATCGTGAAAGCAGAGTATCGTATTGTGTAGCGCAATTCAAACATTGCTGCTATCTGCGAAGCGACACTCAGGACAAGTATATACCTGCCTGTGCATACACAACGCAGTTGACAAGAGAAACGACATGGCGCCTGTTGTGAAGTCACCCAATGATCCTCGAGAGTACCGGTAAAACGCCTTTTCTCTACTTGTCTCTTTCTTTTACTCCGTGTTTACGCTCAACTGATAATTTTCTTATATTTAGTGGCTTGATTTGTGTGTCTCGTAAGAAATGCTTCAAAAGCTGTTTTAGCTCACGTGTTGTAGTTCAGAAAATATCCTTCTCGCGTTTGTTTATTTGATTGAAATGAGGAACTTCAATGGCGTGAAATATTAAGAGACAGTTTCCGGACTTTTACGATTTGTTTTCTTTAGTGGAACTGAATATCTAAATATATGAGATTCAAATTAAGATTGGAAAAGGAATATTCCGTTTATCAGTACATGCACCTGTACAAGGACATGTCAACAATCTGTTTAAGACCACATGTGATCAATGGTTGGGAGATTGAAGTTTTCATGACCTTTCGAAATATGTGAAATACGCAGTAAGCACCTCATTTTAATCTTCGTTGTTTAACTGTGCTTCATCTCGCTTTATCTTAATCCAACAATTTGATTCAATATTTTGATTTATGAAGGTGACATAACGAAAAATATCAGGCTACATAACTCTAGTTGCGGGCGACATAACCTTAAGCGAGATGACCGTTAGGTGGCTTGACCAGTTACCATTCATGGATGTAAAGAAATTTTCTTTCTTGAAAGGACACACGTCAAACTAGGTTAATTTTGAATGAAAAAGAAAAAACAAGAAATATATAAGGTGAAATTGTGTAGTTTGATTATCCAGGTGAGTGTAGTCCTGAGAAGGACTGTTGTCAGTAATGGTGATTGACATTTTGACAACCTGAGCAGAAGTCATTATCCGAGTCAAGTGAATAGTTGTTGTCAGTCACCTCAGACTCTGATAATGAGTTCTGCTCAGATTGTCGAAATGTCAGTTACTACAACTGACAACAGTCCTTCTCAGGTGTACACTTACCTGGATGGTTAAACTACACTATTACATGTTACTTCCAGGTTCAAACCATTTACCGTAATATATAACAAGATGATCATTGATATGTGTTTATTTTTTGGCAAAATATACACGATGTATGTCTGGACAAACATGCAATACTTTGATGTTGGCATGCATGTGCCAAGTTTAGGATATTATCTAGTGATGGATATTTTTCTTTGCATGTGTCATCATTGGGTTTCAGTTAGAAAGGTATGTAGAGTAAATAATGTCATTTTTTGCCTGAAAATTGAATCCATACAAGCAAATTGACATCTTGATTTGATCTTTATACAATTACAGTGTTATCCATCTTGACAATGGATTGACAGCATTGTTAATATCAGATACAAACTCAGTTACTCGTCGTCAGCATCATGACAGTTCCAAATCAACAACAGATGAAGAAGATACTGAAAGTGAGGATTTGGAAGGGGAGAGTTGTGATGATGATGATGATGATGATGATGATGATGATGAGGTTCACGAGGATGATGATGGCATTGATGAGGATGAAAATGATGTCACTGATGGTGTTACTAGTGTGGGTTTGGATACAGAGGAAGAAAATGGCAGTGAGAGATCACGAAAAGCAAAAGACACAAAACTAGTGAGTGAATTCTATTTTTATCAGTATATACCACACAAATGATTTGCACTTGCTGGTTGGCTTATTAAAAAGTGAAAAGCCAGTACTATTCACCTCTGAACAGCTGAAAAGACAGAATAGGGCCTTAAGAGCTTAATTTCCAACCATTTTTCCAATTTTTTTTTTTAAAGAGATAAACTAATTTTTGGTAACTGTGTGGAATATTACTAAAACAACTATTCACCTCAATGTTGGTGAAAGTGTTGGATATTTACTTTGCTGCTTTGTGGATTAGTAAATATCCACCACTATACATCTCCACTTTGATGAATTATTGCAGTTAATTGTCAGATATTTTTACAATGTACATTGTGCACTTAACACACCAGCCCTGCAAATGTATACATTGTATAGGTGTATTTCAAAATGATTGAAAACTAGTATGATGTGTATAAAGATTATGGTAATGTGCATGTACTTTACTCACAGCAAAGTAGAAAACAAACAACTCTGTTTCCAGGAATATATCTTAAACCACAATGTGTATACAGGGTACAAAGAAAGTTGATTTTTCAGCTTGCCCTTTGTGCAATTATTGGAGCCTTTTTCTTCTAGCCCAAAGGCATCTTCTTACAAGCCTCTCCTCATGTAAAAACAGAATTGTTAAAGCTCAACTGGAAATTAACAGTGACTAACATCTTATTTCTCCTTACAATATCACCCCAGAATCACATGAGAATAATTATGGGAAATAATCACCATCTAAAGAAGCTCCTGATTGTTAAACAAATTCTCCTTTTCTGCACCTTAGGAAATGTGTAGAGAACAGTATAGAGAATATTGATGCCGATGTTATGATTTAAAGGGTTAAATTATCCTTAGGCTATTGGGCAGGACCTTCTTTGCATATAGTTATAACTATCTATCACATACAGCTTTATGTGATAGATAGATATACATACAGATGATACATATACATACAGCTGTCAATTATAAAATAAAAGAACGCTCATAGACATAGCTAAATTGAAAAAGCTAGTTAAGAGGACTAATCTCAGAGTCATGGTTTTCTGAGAAATGAGAAGTTTTATCTTAAATAGCAATATTTTATTTCCTCATCTTCTCAGTCTGCTGCAGCTCTTTGCATTGGTGCTGGTAGTTTTTCTGATCCAGATGACATGCCAGGATTGGCCCACTTCCTGGAGCACAGTAAGTGTTCAATGTTTCCTCTGTCAGTAATTGTTAATAGAGTGTGTATAATCATTATCACAATCATCATCTTCATCATCAGCTGCAGTAGCATCAGCTGCTGTAGCATCATCATTCTCATTGTCACTTATTTTAATCCTGAACAAATTTGGAGGGGGACCCCCTGTCACAGTGTGTGTAGCGTGACAGGCCATGTAAGGGCATGTGCACCCTTTGCATCCCTTAGTTGTTCTTTCACTTGAAACTCATGGCAAATAAAGTAGATTTCAAGAAAACTCATTCTTGTTTTTAGACTCTATTTTATGACACCCCCCATGGGAAGGTATGATCTCCTTTTTTTTGTGGTTTTGTCTTTTTCAATATTGATCAATATTATTTTGTTGTTGTGAGGAGTAAGGTTCTGATCTCTGAGCAACCTTTTGGAGCTCTTCTTTCTTATTCTGTGGATCTAACAATAGTGACTTTGATGACTGTTCTTATACTGTGATATTTTAAATGAAATAAACATTATTCTAATTTTTTTTAAAATTTGTTTTCTTAGTGGTTTTCATGGGTAGTGAAAAATATCCTGATGAAAATGCATTTGATGCTTTCATAAAGAAACATGGAGGATCAGATAATGCTTCAACTGACTGTGAAATGGTATGTCCTGCAAAAACTGTCCGCAACAACACAATAACAGTAATCAGCCTCATTGATAATCTATAATTTTGATGAATCTGAGTTGGGAATTCTCAACTGAGGGAGGAAATGTTGCTTTTCATTAGTGATAATTACATTGCACAGTAATTAAGAGAAAGTGTTTATATTTATTTGATATAGTATTGATTTCATTAATTCTAATTTCAGACCACCTTTATCTTTGATGTTAGGAGAAAGTACTTCAGAGAAACTTTAGACAGGTCAGCAACTATAAAATCTCACCTTTTTATAGAAATGGTTGTATATATCTTTTCTGTTTGGATATATTATGCTGTTAGCTTTCAACTTACAGTAGTGCATGAGACCATGCATGTATCTTAAGAATTAAGGCAAACTTATCAGCTACAGTTTTTCTTTGATAGAGAACCAAATTCTTCTAAACTATAGTCAAAGATCTTGTAAGCAAATTTATAGCAGCTAGAAGACAGAGTGAAAAATCACATTTCAAAAGTAAAATTTGGTAACTTGCTTGAAAAGGTTTTATGATCAACCCTTGCAGTAATTGGTAACAACACACAGCTAATTACAGTTGTTTTTCCATAGTTGATCCATTATTGATTAACCCTATCATACAGGGTGCTTTTTTTAGGGGTGCTTTTCCTAGATCTTACACATTCTCAGATATCTATTAGTTTCAAAATTGAATATAACTTATTTTGATTTCAAACTGTTCACAGATTTGCTCAGTTCTTTATTTCTCCTCTCCTTAAAGAAGACAGTGTTGATAGGGAAATACAAGCTGTAGAAAGTGGTAAGATCTTAATCTTTTAAATAAATTAACACTTTCTTTTCTTGGACACAGTATAGTATATCCAGTTATATTTCTACTAATTGAAAGAGTAAAGCCAGGGGGATATTAATATCATTCATTTACCTGTACTGGTGGTATAGTAAAATTATTTCTCAGTGTAGTATACAAATTATGTTTCTGTTCCTTTCACACATACATCAATGTGTTGGATCTTCCTCTTTATGTTCTCAGAATTTAGAATGAGTTATCAGAGTGATTCTGTCAGGAAAATGCAGCTTCTTGCTCAGCTGGCTAACCAGCATCATCCATTTGGAAAATTTCTCTGGGGTGAGTTTGAAACCTTAAAATGTTGAAAGCATGAAAAAGCTGTCCAAGCTTCCTTATTTAGTCATGGTTTATTCTCTTGATTCAACGATTCTTTACAACTCTTCTGTTAAGTTGACCCACTCACAGCTCCTAGCTTACTTGAAAAGAACACACACAAAACATCCCATTGCAGGCACACGGAATAAGGCCATATATGGACAAAAAAACACATGCTGCATACTTGTTTGTTTGAATATGTTATAGACAAATGAAATCACTTAATATAAATATCAATAAATTAAGACTAATTAATGTATTGTAGAGTTTCCAACAAAAAGTTTAGGGGTGATATCTAATTCAAAGTGTTTGGAGTAGTTTTCAATTGAGTGTTAAAAAATCAGAACCAGTGTAATTATGGTGACCAGTTTGAAAACAAGGTGGACATTATCAGAACTCAAAGTAGAAACAGGTAAAAATAAAACTGCTTGAAGCAAGGATGCAGGGTTGTTTGGGGGGAAGGGAGGAGGGTAGAGGGGGCAAGTGACCTGTTAATGATAGGCTTCAGTTGAGTATAATTATGATGGGTTGAAAAGGTGGCATGATTTTTCTTGACCATCAGACGGAAGGAAAGCAAGATCAAAGTAATTACTGATTTTTGTGATGCTCAAATGAATATTGTTCTGGACCCTATGTTTATGATAAAGCTGACAGTATTTTTGTTGTAACACAAAACCTGTGTTTTGATTGTTATGTTCATAATTTGATTGTATAGCTCAAGGTAAAATAAACCAGTTTCATCAAAATGCAACTGGCTTTAACTCAAAATTACTTTGTAATTGCTATCATAATAGCAGTTTCAGTAAAAAGCAATGAGAATGTGCGATTGTTCAGCAGCAGTGTTGGAGCCCTCAATGTCTTTTCATTTTAACCTTTTGGAATCCTTCTTTTTAATATTAGGAAATGAACAAACACTCATGAAAATTCCCAAAGAAAAGGTAAATGAAATCTCTCATGGCAGTCATTGTACCAAACATCTCATTTTTTCAATGAATATATTTGGGTTGATTTAATGGCAATGGAATAGTTATTTATAGATTTGAATCAACAAAATCAACAATGCAAAGAGGAAAGAGGCAGTGACACTTCAGTTCTGTCATTAATCTAACCATGGCATAGAAGATTGAAGAATTGTCAGTTTAGAATGGCTAATTCTCTAGTTATTAAGTCTGAAGGGCTGTGATATTTTTATTCAGAACTGAGGAATATTCCCTTATTATTTTGCACCTACTACTCTCCTAAGCACATTTTTGTTGAAAATCTTGATGATACCAAATGTGGAGAGTTTACTGTTGATTGTTGTTTTTCCTGCAAGAGTTTTTCCCTTCTAATATTAAGCAAAATTATAAAAGTGATGTAAATTTCATCTGGAAATGATGGAGAAAAAGTCACTAGACTATTTTTTTTATTGAAAGCTTGTTAATATTATGTTTGCATACTCACATTTACTTTGAATTATCAGAATTTAGATGTGAATGCTTCATTAAGAGATTTTCGGAAGAGAATGTACTCTGCACAATACATGACACTGGCTGTAATTTCTAGAGGTAAGACTGACAGAAGCTTTACTTCAATTAAGTTAACCCTTTAACTCTCAAGATTTCTTTGGTAATTCTCCTTACTGTCTGCCATATAATTCATGTAATGTCAGTTTGGAGAATTTGGAATTGGATCAACCAATAACCCCAAATTGATTTTTCTTTGTTCTCATTACTTGTCCGCTTGATATTGTACTGATAGTGTAAGGAGAAATTCTGTCTTGGTCACTAGTGAGACTTAAAAGGGTTAATAGCTTTGTTGTTCTGTCAAACATTTTGCAATTTTTAACCTGTTTAACCCTTAAACTCCCAGAAGTGATTAAAATGTAACCTCTTCTCTTGATATCTATATACTGTATCATGCAGCAAACAGGTAATGAAAATATTCTAACTTATCAGGCAGAAGTTGTTATCTTGATCTAATCCCACATTCTCATAATTAATTTACAAGGAAGTGTGTTGCAATTAGAGGTGAGAATTAACAATCAGATCTTGGCACTTGAAAGGATAAGAAATTAACAATATTTGAAACCATAACAGTGTTCCAGTGATGAGCTGGTTATTTTTCTACCTCTAAGTACTGTATGTGGACTATGCCGAGAATGATTTTATTCTTTTATACAACAACTACATGTACAGGTAATAAATTAGTCTGATCCTTGAATAGCCTCTACATTTAATTAAACTGTTATTTTTTTCTCAGAATCTCTTGACAGCCTTGAAAAGATGGTTAGGGAATCATTTTCTGAAATCCCCAATAAGTATGTGTACTATTATTAGAAAATAGCTATTAATGTTGCAGTGATATAAATATATTTGTTTAATATAGAGTTTGTTAATTTGCATGATCATAATATTTTGTGTTTATTTATATATTCATTAACGAGTTGTGTACTAGACACAATTTTTTTTTTTTTTTACCAATCAATAAAAAAAAAACAAAAAATTAAAAATTAAAAAAAAAAAAACCACACACACACACAACTATAATACTACAGGGCTGGTGTATAAAGCAAGATGCCACTTTCTAAATAGCATATTAATCATAATTTTGTAATTTTGTTTTAAGCTCACTGCCAAAGCCAACATTTCAAGAGTATACAGTAAGTATATGATTTGGTATAGTGCATGATTATAGACAGTGCAACACATTTTCCATGTTTTGCTTATTCTCAAACTATTGTAGCATGTTACACGAGGACATATCTTACTGCAGTTTAAAGGAGAGAACAATTTTGGTCAGTATGTGTACCTAGCCATGTGAGAGTACCTTCAGCTGACTTGGTGGAGAGAAATATCTTTTAGCTGTAGTAAATCATGCAGTTTTACACTGTGTACTGTAGCATTGTAGCATGATATTTAAATATAGTAAGTTACATTCATCTTTCTCATTCATATTTTTTGTTTATTTGATAGACCCCATTTGATGCATCCAAATTTCATAAACTATACAAAGGTAAGGTTTATAAACAAATGTTTCACCTGCACTACTTGAGGAGTGGTGTGGCTGAGAGGTTAGGGCACTGGTCTTGTAATCTGTTGGCCACAGGTTCAAGCCCTCCACCTTGCTTCTCACTGGATTTGTTCTCAGTCGTCTAGAAATCAACTCCTGGGCTGCACTGTGTAAATAGCCAGGTGGCCTGCTTCTTGCTAGTTAGGATTTTCAAGCACCTTATATTTTAATTAATTAGTAATATTTGTTTCTCTTTCTTTCACATTGCAAAGCACTTAGAGGCTTGCAATTAGCACTATAAAAAATTATAAATTTATTAATTTATTTATATATTTACCACTGGTAGCCTATTGCTTGCCTATTGCCAAACCAACCACGAGGAAAGGGAAAGAATTTGTACCTAGTAATTTTTGTTCCACCGAGACACTGGAGAAGAACATACTTGTCTTATGTGTTAAATATTCAAAGTGAGACAACTTCTCATCAGTCGCCATTCTTCTCAATCATCTATAACAACTTGTATTTAGTGTGATTTTCTTTATGTTAAGTTTACTTCTCTATGTAAAGATTGCTTTAAATTTTTGATGTGTAACTATAAATTTTAAGCCACAGTTTACAATATTTAAGATAGACATCTATTATGATTACTAATGATTGACTTTCACTTTGTAGTGGTTCCAGTCAAGGATGTACATCATCTTGAAATCACTTGGGTTCTACCCCCACAACAGAAGTATTACAGGTATGATACAACTTAGAGTGAAAATTTGTGCCAGGAGACTTGGAGAAGGTTGGGGGGGGGATACTGGGAGAGATGGAGGTTACCTTTGATGTACTTTATCTCATCCTAGAGGAGTGATAATACATACTGTACTACTGTACTTGACAATGTGCTTCTGTAATACAATAAATGGAGGAAATCATCTTGTATGAAATCTTAAAAAACAACAGCACAAATTTTGATTACAATTAGTTGATTTACCAGTAGTTGCCAATATTATTTGACTGAGCAGGATCTTTGAACTGGAACCATGTAATAGTATTTTTACATTTTTGTGTGCTTACTTTGCTGTAGAATCAAGCCGATTCATTATATCTCGTGGTTAATGGGACATGAAGGGCCTGGTAGCATTTTATCACTGCTGATAAAAAAGTGAGAGAACTAACTGTAACTGTGTAATTTGTGTTCCAATTACATGCTTAGATGTGAATCATTTGAATTTATTTTTCACTATGAATGATCTATGAATTTAAGTTCTGAAAATCAGACACAGTAGGTAATGAGTTTTATTGTGTTTGGAAATGTTATCGACACTGTCTCAAGAGTATGGCATATTCTTTAATTTATCAAACCTTTAACGATAGGGTTCATGCACGAATACTATAATCAATTTCAGATTGCTAGACTTCAATGTCAGCTATTTCCTTTTAATTCAGATTTAGTTAAACTTTATAATTTAATTAATTTTTTTCCTTAGATCTTGGGCTTCCAGTTTACTGTGTGGTAATGGAGAGTCTGGTCAAGAATATAACACTAGTTTTGCATTATTCCCATGTTTGATTAGTCTAACAGTGAGTATTGCAAGGTGTACCCCACTCATGCCTGATAAAAAATAATAATATGATTTTTTTCCAAACATAACACAGAACTGTTCATTGCAATCTAATTGATTGTGTTTGATAATTTCAGGATGAGGGAATGGAGCATATTTATGAGGTAATGTTGTTCTGCCATGTAAAAAGACAAATGTCAACCATAATTTAAAAAAAAAATGTAATTCCAAGGTCTCTACATGTACTCATAAACACTGTGCTACCAAATTAAAGTGCACCAACCCTTTGACTCCATGAAAGTGGCTACAGTAGCATCTAATTTCTCCTTACAATATCACCCATGAATCACACATTAATATCATGAGAAGAAAGGAAATGATCACCTACTAAGAAAACTCTTGATTTAAAAAAGAATCTCCTTTTCAGCACCTTAGGATGTGTATAGAGAACAGTATGGAGAATATACTTACTGATGTAAGAGTGTAAAGTGTTAATACAGCTGTATATGCATAAATTATTGTAGTCTCGTTCCTGTTTTATTTCACAGCCTGTACATACATGTGCATAGTTGATAATTCAGCACAGCATGAAATTCAATGAAGTTTGTTTTCTTCTAGATTTTGACAATTGTGTTTCAATACGTGGAGATGTTGAGAAAAAAGGGTCCACAGGAAAGGTTTGTATGATCAAACATAATTATGCATCACTTAATCGCAGGTCATTAATGATATTCCTTTATTACAAAATCTTCTTAAATGTGTCTGTTGTCATAAAATCAAATAGATTATTTTAATTTCCTGGAAATCTATTTGAGACTATCCTTTTGGTACATGATTTTGCATTCATGTGGCTTCATTATGTATGTTAACTTTAATCCATTTAATTCTCCCCGTAGGATATATAAGGAGCTTCAGACAATTGAAAATAATGAGTTCAGATTTCGAGAACAGGTATAGTATATATTAAGAGTTGACTAGCTATCAGCTTAAGGCCACTGCATTTCTCATTCAGTAGTTTTAAGTAGGTTATTAGCTGACATTTTTGCAATCAACAATTTTCTAGTGTGAGCCATATGACTATGTTGAAGATCTTGTAGAGAACATGCAGGTAAGAAATCATTCCTGTACTATAATGGAACTCCAAGTTTTTTTTACATAAAAAACAATGTTTGTCACAAGAATTGCTCCAGATGTGAGTCGAATGTATGTTTCTTATGACTATATGTATATGTTTTACAGTTGTTTCCAGAGGAAGATTATTTAACAGGAGATCAACTGATGTGGGAGTTCAATGAAGAGGTAAAATGCACTACACATTCTTTATTTTGTGATGTAACAATAAGTGTAAAATGTTTTAATGCATTTGACTGGCCTATGAGGCATACCTAAGTTTCGTTGATGCCTGCAGACTCAACCTAAATATTAATTTTAATTCTTCTTGCTGCTCTATTTTATTCCTGAAGGTTATTCAGGATGTCCAAGACAGGCTTACACCTGAAAAAGCCAATATACTGCTCCTATCAAAGAGGTTCCAAGATGAGTGCACAGATTATGAGCCTTGGTTCCAGACTCCCTATAACTGTTCTGGTTTGTGAAAATTACCCTTTTGGACAAAATGTTTACTTTATCCTGAGAAAACCATTGGTGTTCCAGTGATTATAACATTTTTGTTGTTAGATTTGGTGCTGGTGCAAATGAGTTGTTGATAATTATGGTTGTCAGCTGGATCTTCATTTGACATCATATCTCTTACATTCCAGATATTGATCCAGAGTGGGTTGAAAGCTGGAAAAGTTAGTGCATAGTCTCGTCACAGTTATCAAATTGTTTGTTAGCTTTCTTCTTGTCATGCAAATGTGGTTAAACTTGAAACTCCCAAGATCTAGTCATTAATGCTCCCCTCTTGCTGCTACAGGTTTCCCTGTATGTGACTTATGAGAATTTGGTGTAAGATCAAGATAACAACTCCTACCCAATAAGTTTGAGTATTCTCATTACCTGTTTGCAGAGTTATGCTTGGATTTTTTAGGGAGAAGTTACATTTAATCAATTCTGGGAGTTAAGGGTTAATGTGTTGCTTATTGCTATGAGGATATTGAATAATGTGAGAAAAATTTCTTTACTTGCATATTTGTATATCATCTGCTGGTCAAAATAAGATTTATTTCATTTAATTGCGTCATTGTTTATGATGCATATCACTTCAATTCAATTTCTGTTTTTAGATCTTGAATTAAACCCAGAGCTTCATTTCCCAGAAGAGAATAAATTCATTGGTGAGTATGTTATTTAAACCAAGAAGGTTTTGCAATGATTGCATGGAACTAGATAGTGTGTAAATGATTGCTTTCAAGTTTCTAAGTTACATTACCTTGAGATAAATATCTAAGGTCTAAAGTAGGTATAAAAGTATAAAGTATTTCCCCTGAGTATGTGCAACCTGTTTTTATGGGAACTGTTTTAAATGATGAGGGTGTAAAGTGATAACCTTGAGTATACAATGTGTTACCTTGGGAACTCCAAGGTCTAACTCCATGGGCAAGAGAGATAGCACCCCGGCCTTAGTATAATTCTACCACTGAAAAGGTTTTACTTCAGTGAGAGGGTATATGATTGCTTTTATACTGGGAGAGTATACAATATGTTACCTTGGGATGTCTATGGCGTAATCAGTAGGGTAAACAAAATAACATCAATGAGTATCTGTATCTTGGATGCTTCTTTATGGCTCTCAGAAGGAATGAATTCTATTACACCTTCCCATACTTTCCTCTCACCGTCAGTGTTACGAATCCAGCCCTTGTAACAAAGAGAAATTGGTTCTTGATCGCTGTTTGCAATTGATTAATGGAACACTCAATGTTTTTTGTTTTTTTTTCCAACAGCGACTGATTTTGAAATCAAAGATCTTGATAGGGCACCAAGCGAGGTAACCCTAATGAATTATAAACTTACTGTAACAGAAAATTATTGCATCTCCCGTCACTCTACCAAAATGCTGGCAAGGGTTAAACTTTCTTCGACAGAAGATGGTCCATAAGTCTGTACCAATTCAGAATCTCGGTAACCCTGAAACGAAATTCTTCTTATTTCACGCCCGTAGTTCTATCTTCCTTGTAGTTCCCTGAACTGGTTCATGATTGCCATCTCGGAAAAGTTTGGCACTCAAAGGATACGAAATTCAAAACACCTCGAGGTGAGTAAATACATCTTTTTCACTTTCAACTTTATTATAGACACGCGTCCATTCCCTTTCCCTACCGGTTTTCCTTGCGTCAGCGCTCGACTCTGCGACTGCTCTGGTAGTCATGGCAAGAAAAACAAAACAAATTGGCGACGAAATTTATGGTGAAACTCGTGATAAAGTTTTCATTCTTTCATCTTCTTGTTTCCAGCCAGGTTTTATTTCCATCTCATGTCGCCGCTACTAAATGCCAGCCCTGAGAGGTGAGATGTAAGAGGTTGGCGTTTTTATCGAGTAAAACATAAACTGACACAGAGTCCAGTCGGTTGACTATAGCTAATGTTTGTTTTTTACCCTTTCTGTACTTATTAGTCGGTCACAACGAAAGCTATTCGCAATTTAGTCAACGCGATTTATAAATACATTACATCACCTTGGCTTCACGAGATAAACTTATTTAAGAAATTCCCAAGAAAGACTGTCGATCAACTTGAGTGAATATCATACAGCTTACTACAACACAAATGAAGACTGGTCAGCACTACATCTCTATAAGCTGTTTAGTTGGCCATATGCGTCCATCCAAACCTATGTGCGGTGTTTTTGACTGCTTGTTCGTTTGTTTTGTTGCTTACTTATTCCAGATGTTGTTGTCAAAACGATAAGGAAGGTAACCTTGCTTGTTTCTTTTACGCGAAGTACAAAAAGGAGCGCAGATTTTGAGGGTATTTCTGGGAAACCCTTTTCCTTTGTTTTTTTTTTCTTTTCAATAAAACCGCACTAACTATAAGTCACGTTAAAACTAGTAAATAGAAGAACTGTCGGTTCAACTTTTATTTTACTGCTTTATAGCATGGTTCTTTCTGACGTTTTCTTGTGTGTGCTGGAATACAACTTGAAAGAAATCGCTTACGCCGCCGATGTAGCCCAGTTAGGGTAAGCACCTGTTGTAACCTGATTGATATTTAATTTCTCCTAATATACGAACTACCCTAACTACGCAAGACCAGAAAACCGTAAAATAGCGACCACACCTTAATAACCCTGGTCAAGTGTTTGGATTGTTTGTTCGTTAAGTGCAAGAAATGGTGCTTGACTTAAACTGTGAGATCATGATAGAGCGCTTTTCGATTGAGTGTCGTAGAACCGAAACCAGAGTAATCACCACTCTCAATCAGATGAAAGGAATATTCTTTTAAAAAGTCGGGCAATGAGAACTCACAGTAAAAACGACCGAACTGCCTAAAGCGCGGGAAAACGCGGGTGACCAAGTCGTGCTTGGTTGTAGTTTTGCATCTGATTGGTTGAGAAAGTGGCACGAGGTTTCTGCGCCGATCACAGAGCAAAGTAAAGCAACAACAAAGCAATCCAAGATTACTTTCGAAATTGTTGTAGTAGGAGAGCACTTGTTTGTGAAGATGGTTGGTAATCTTCCTTGGTAATTAAAAGTCATTTCACAAATTGCGTCGTCAGTTCTTTACTTTTATATTATAAATTCTTGAAACTGTGTTTTTTCCTAGTTACTCCATGACAGTCAATGAAACAGGGATTGTTCTGAAACTAGAAGGATTCAGTCACAAGTTACCAGTAAGTTTTGAATCGCTGTTGGTAGTGTCACCACTAACCTTAACCAATCACTTACACTCCGGTTTTCCTGTGCGTCTATTTTACAGTTCTTCTTGATGGCTATCTTGAAAGAACTGCATCAAGGCTTGTTTCTTGAAAAGGTTACCATAAATCTTCCACGTTCGTGATGTGCAATCCGGGTTAACCTTTTAACTCTTAGACTGATGAAGGGCGTAGAGGGTTAATATCAGTTTCTAAAGAATCAGTCAGTAACACTTCTAACTGTCTTTCTTTTGTTTCTCCCCAGCTGTTGTTCGAAACAATAATTGATCGCATTGCAGATTTTTCTGTCAGCACTCAGACGTTTGAAATGGTGAAGGTAAGATCTTCGTTCGTAATAGCCACTTAGTGACGTCTCGTCTAGAAAACCGAACCAGAACATCAACTTTTTGCAGTAAGTGTTGGGCTTTTTCCACTCAATGGTTTTTCCCCACTGTGACTTTACAACTGTGTGACTACTTGTTACTGGAAGTCTTAGTAACTTTAGTAATGATTAACAATTTGGTAAGGTTATTTTCTATTTGCGTTCACTGAAAGTGTTTTTTTCCGCAACTGATCCTATGTAGAGCTGAAGAAAATGGTAGCAGAAAAGAAAAGAAAAACATTCGACCTTTTTACAGTATTCAAAGTTGAAATGAAAATTTGCACCTTCAAGTATTGTTTAACAGCTAGTCATTAGTGCCTTTAACCATTGTGTCCTTCCGGTAAAGGCTTTTTAGAGTAAAGATGAACATTTTTCTCGAGATTACGAGATCGATGGCTGTTGTCTAAAGTTCATTAACAAAATCGGTGTTAACAGGAAGAGATAAGGTGTTCTTTTTTTATTGACAGCGAAAGCTGATGAGATCCTATCGCAACAGTATCATCAAACCACAGAAGCTCGTCAGGTACATAGTGACCATTTAATACTTCACTGACCGAGGGGAGCTTGGCTTAGGCTCTGTGTGGTTCTGTCTATGTAGTCATTCAAAATCGTCCGGAGGAGGGGGGGGGGGGAATTTGGAGGATTTTGTTTGCGTCACAGAAAAATTTATCTGATCCCCTTAAGGCTCTGTAGTATTCAAATATTTCCCCCCCACCCATTGGTAGTCAATTTCCCATAGCCCCCCCTTCCCCTTTATACTCTGTATGCGACGACTGATCCCCCTTTGTTCCACCCGAAACCATGTGATTCCCCCAAGAATCCTCCGACCCTTCCCCCTCCGCCCCTTAGGTGATGAATAATGACTGCTCCCTAAGTAATGTAGTACTACTGGATATTTGAAAAGACAATCATAGACAAAAGTGAGAAGCATTTGTTACAACCAATCATTGTTTGCTAGGTCAGTCCGCTTGTCAATCTTACAGCACGTTAAGTGGACAACTGTAGACAAACGGAGGGTCGTCCCAAATGTTACGATAGAAAAACTTCAGGTATGTGTTCATATGAAGATTTGACTTCTCTCTAAAGATGTCATTGACTATGGCTGAAGGTAATTACGTTCTGTTGGAGGGGGCTTGTGTTGCTGTCTTTGGGAGAACCTGATTGCTGACCCTTCATCGTTTTTTTGTTTTGTTTTGTTTTTTTGCAGCACTTTGTATCCTGTTTCAATTCCGAGTTGTTCGTGGAGAGCCTAATTCAAGGAAACATAACCTCACAGGTATGCAAACACAGATTTCATTATTACTTGGGGTGATTAAACTAATCGGTTCACTTTCTTATAGTGTGTTACAGTAAAGATCAGTTTACTCTTTCTTGTAGGAAGCCATCTCTTTACAGGAACAGCTTTATAGGTACGTAACTATGCAGCTTACAGATTTTTCTCCTCTCAAAACTGATACTAATTTTTTGCAAATTTAAAGTGGCTCTGAGCTTCTAGTACTCAATTCAAACTCCACTTTTACTTGTTTAGTGATAAGTTTGATCAGTTTATATGTAGGGGGAAAAAATTCACGGCACGAACGAGTCGAGCTATAACGCAGTTGGACACTAGTGACCGTTCTTGGATTTTGGACCCTAGTGGCTGATTTTGGATTTTGGACTCTAGTGGCCGCCAGACCACAACACTGGGATTCTACGTTCCCTACTCATTGCGAGAAGTGCATGGGTTCTTCAAAGTCCCCTGTTAACCAGTACAGACGGGATGCAGGTCCACGGTTTTCGCAGATGTCATAGCGGAGGCAGCACATTCTCGTCAGTTATTTTAAGACCCTAAGTGTTGGTCTGGTCTAGAGCTTGAACTCTCGACCTCCCGCACGGCAGTCTGACGCTTTACAGCATGAACTGATCAGGCGGCGGTTGTGTGGGATATTTGGGATGCTGAAGGTTTTCTGTTTTGCGTGTGCATACAAATCTTCTACAACACTACCTTCGGCTATCGTCATCATACAGCCACTACTTCTTTTCAATGCTATGAAGATTATGCTTCTTTTCTATTAACTTATTCGTAATGTTGTTTCTACTTACAGTAAACTGCAGTTTATGCCATTAATGAAAAGTCTTCATCCCGAGGTAAGAAAACGTTCGAATGAACTGTGAATCTATGAATTGAAAGGAAAACTCGCGCCAACCCTCAACCAATCAGATGCAAAACATAACTATAATCGTGACCTTTGTACTCACGTCTTCCTACTTTTCGGGTAGTTTATATGTTGCTTTGAATTCTTATTAGCCCCTTGGGTGACTTTGGTGTACAACACTCATTTGAATTGCGCCATAAAGAATCGTGAGTATAGTAAGTTTTAGCAGTAAGTATGTTATTTGTGTAGTCTGATGAAGTACGTTGATCCTTTAAGGACTGTTGTCAGTAGTAGCGACTGATGTTTTGACAACCTGAGCGGAAGTCATTATCAGATGACTCAGGTTGTCGAAAAGTCAGTCACTACTGCCGACAACATTCCTTTCAGGCTGGGATTAACGCACTTTCACCCAGACGATGAGAGCACGCGATCACTGTTACTCCAAGGTTCACACTGTTCACTTTCCATGTTGTTATCTGTTTATTAGATCCGAGTTATGCAGTTACCTGAAGGTGAATGCATCTGCCGTGTGATAGGATTTAACAAAGATGACGACAACACAGTTGTTACAAACTACTACCAGGTAAAAGCGAAATAAATCGTCAAGTCTTTTGCAAGCCTCTCTTTGTCTTACTGTTTAGTTGAGTATCACGGTCTTGTGCGTCGACCAATATATTACTTTAACGCCAAAGGAACATCTTTATATGTTTTCTCTTCCTATTCAAACGTAGAAATAGCAGTGCAGTGAGGTTCCGTTGACTTCGCGATCAGAACGTGGAGAATATCTGTATTTTGATGTAAAAGGATGCGACGTTTTTCTCGTCCTGCTCAAACGTTTTACACTTACTTATCAATTTTATAATTCCTCTTCAGTCTGGTCCCGCAACTGTTGAAGAATGTACCATAATGAACCTTTTGCTGGTATGGATGGACCGTGCTACATTTGTTTGTTTGTTTGCTTTAATTAAGAACGGATTAACTTGTCCTCACGAGAATCAGTTTTATGAGAATCATGAATTACTATTTGGTATGTTAAAACATGTAGTCTTTTTTCTTGAATTTATATATAAATTCTTCTTCTGTTAAGGTGTTTATTTTCATTTTAGATGCAAATGGAGGAGCCATGCTTCGATATACTTCGCACTCAAGAACAACTTGGGTAAGATTTGCTTGCTGTAGATATGGCGCAAAACTATAATGAGCCGTCGATGTCGGCTGAGGTGTTGTTACCCCCTTAGAGTTTCTTTTGTTTTGCAAAAGGATGCCCTGAAACAAGTTCAATATTAGATTAGACGTCTGCTCAAATGTCAGTTGCCTTGTTAGTGTGGTTATCATGACTTTTTAGCGTGAAGCGAGTATCAGGGCTCCCTTAGAGATGAATACCAGTCAAGTGCAGATCAACTTCTCTCTTCCTCCTTCCCGCTCAGCATTTCGTCAAGTTCCCTGTCAGTTCACTAGAACCTAATTCTTCTCTTGAGTGAAGAAAGGCATTTTGTGGGTTGAGTGCCATACCCAGGACTAATGACCCGGCCAAGGCCCGAACCCAAATGGGTAAATCTGCCTCCTCTCCCCCCTCCCGCAAACCTTTAGGCCCCCACGTCCCTCCCTTAGTTTTGGATGATAGAGTTGGCTTCTAACAAGCAAATATTTTAGTTTTTTTTTTATATCACTGCTAAGTCTATTTGTCCGTTTCTCGCCAGGTACTCTGTGTTCTGTTCTTGTAGAAACACATTCGGAGTTCTCGGATTTTCAGTCACCATCCAAACACAAGCTGGAAAATTCAGGTATTTGTTTTTATTTTCGTCGTGTTCCTGCATTCATACGGTTGAATCTAAAACGATAGTGCAGAGAGTACGGTTAGAGAGAGAGATATTTAAACTAGAAATCCTCCACGAGTGATCAGGTAAACAAGATAGATTGGTCTCCTCCAGATTCTACTCTGCACGGAAATCTTTGACTTTGTCAGTTATTTGATTCTTTCAAAGTTGTTACCTTTCTCTATTTTAACTTCGTGGTTGGTTTTTCAGTGCAGAACATGTCGATAGTAGAATTGATGCATTTCTAGATGAGTTTGGTGAAATTTTGTGTTCTCTAACAGACGAAGACTTCAAGAGCCAGGTATGTATATTTTTCTTTTTGCTGTTTTGAAGCGTCTTTTCAGTAAGACATAATGTTTAAAAGAGTTGCGCACTTTACTTCACTTTTACTTTACTTTTTGAATCCGACTGGACAAAAACGCAGCATCTTCATTCTACTCGGCTGTAAGTTCGTGAAAAATCGTGCACGTCGCTCTCTATTTGAATGTGATTGGACAAAATCTAAGCATCGTAATTCTCTTTTTCTTTGCGGGAAACTCAATATCACTTTGTCGTAAAATCGCGTTACTTTGTTTTGGTTGTCAGGTGGATTCACTTATCGAACTGAAGGAACACGAGGATCTTAGTCTGGCAGATGAAGCTGACAGAAACTGGGTGGAAGTCATAGATCAGACGTACATCTTTAATAGGAAACGACGTGAAGTAAGTAAAATACAATTGTCTTCGGCGATATTTTCTTTATTCTTTTAGATGAAAGAATGAAGTGTCACTCTTCGTTTTTTACTAGGTTGAAATTTTAAAGAATCTTTCCAAAGAAGAACTTTATCATTGGTTCTCATCACACAGAAAAAATGGTAATAAATACAAGAAGCTAAGCGTCCAGGTAAATATTATTTAGCTTTTACGCAGTGATTAGGTATTTCTTCCGCACTAGTCATTCATTTAGCTATGAGAAAAAAGGATAATGTTGCATTCAGCCTTTTGTTTCTGAGCACCCCGTCATAACACTTTTACCCGGCTAGTTGTACAGGCTCGGTTACTAAGATTTGATTTTTCCAAATTTCCCATAGATCATTGGGTCAGGTCAGTGCGAGGCGCACACATGCTCAGATAGCCATGTAGACGCAGATAGCGGCCTGGGTAACGATGAAGATTGGCAAATACGGCCACTGACGGTGGACACCTCCGGCACTGCAGTCTTCTGTGTTAAAAACATTTCAGATTTCAAAAGGACGAGAGCTGTTTACCCTGTCGTGAAAATTAAGTGAAGAAAACAGGGCCGCGGGAATGGGCAACAGGATAGAAAAAAAAAGAGTGGAAATCTCGCTGAGATGAAATTAGATAATCAAGCAGGAAAAAATGGTCCAAATAAATTTTTTTTCTGCGACCATACAACTGAGTCGGGCTGAACATGGTCACGCTATTGTCTGCTGTCGAGAGAATGCGTGATTTTAGTTAGGACTCCTTACAGCCTTCTTTGCGCGATGGCGTAAGGCATCACTAGCAAACATTAAGCAACACTCACAAGGAAGAATAGAATAACTATCGTCAGTTATTTAAACAGTTTTAAAACGAGTGTAGTAAACTCCCAGAATTCACATAAATATACTTAACCCTTTACCTCCCATGAGTGACCAAGAAAGAATTTCTCCTTACAAAATCAATACAATATCATGCATCGAAGTGACGACAATAAAGTAAAATATCAAATAGGGGATTTTCAGTTGATCCAATATCAAATTCTCCAAATTGACATTAAAAGAATTGTATGTCAGACAGTACAGAGAATTACTGATGAGATCTTGGTAGTTCAAATTCATATTATCTTTACCCTGCAAAAAGAACAACTTCATTGAAAGATAAATGCAAAGTAAGTTGAAATGACTTAACCCTTTAACTCCCATAAGTGACCAAGACAGAATTTCTCCTTACAATATCAATACAATATCAAGCAGACAAGTGATGAGACTGAAGAAAAATATCAGTTACGGGATTATTAGTTGATCTAATACCAAATTCTTCAAGCTAACATCTTAAGAACTATATGACAGACAGTAAAGAGAATTACTAATGAGATCTTGGGAGTGAAAGGGTTAATGCATTTATCTATTGACCTAAGCGACGGAAAATCTGTCTTTAAGTCATAGCCTTCATTTCAGTGTGAAAACTGAGACAAGAAACATCTGCTGTGAAAGTTAAAAAAAAAATCCTCAGTAAAACCAGAGAAAATTTACAATTTAAGGATTGAGTATGCTTTTGATTACCAAGTCCCTTTGTACTTGACAAACGTGATGTTAGACCTTAGGCTCTAAAACCAGTTGTCCCACCTTAATAACAATTGTACATCTGTTTCTTAACAACCTTACTTGACGCAAAACAATTTGCACACAAATTGTCTTTCAACCTGGTACTGAATGCATAGTTCGTGTTGTTTCCCTGGGCATATTAAGTCATTGTCACTCTAGTTCCGTCTAAAAGTATTATTACTCAAAATCAATTAAGAACAAAAAACGTGCAAATGATCTTATTTGCGCGATTTCGTTAAGGCTTAAGTTTCTTAACGGGGAAACGAAGTTGGCCCACGGGGCTAGACATCAACCGATTTTTAAGAGAACGTGCTTTTCCTACCCAAAGTAAATGTCTCTAATTCCTCTCCAGAAGGTTGGTATGTCGGCCTTCTTTGCGAACTGACTTGCTCGCCACCTTTTCGAAAATCGTAACAAATAGCTAGCGGCCGTAACAAGCACTTTACAAATCCACTTCGCAAATGTTTGGTGAGCGCGCCGTATATCACTGCGTTTAGGCAACTTTGTAAAATGGCTAAGACATCTGAAAATTTGAAAATTATTTCGGCTATCTCTTTCTCGCTGTTTCCACCAAAATCCAACAAAATCCAAGCGATATGCACCGGTAACATACAAAATGTAAACAAAACTACAATTGTTGCTAAGATTTTTATGATTTTTACATTTTCCTCTCTGCTTCCTTGATCCGAAACTTCTCCTCTTCTTGTAATCGAAGCACGCCGAACCTTGGTTCGTGTCAAATCGATACCAATTCGTACGTAAGCGACGGCTATGGTCAGTAATGGCAAGAGATATTGCAAAATGAAAAGCGCTACGGTGTAACCTCGTTTAAAATTTAAACTAGGCCAGTCCTCGTAACATGTGCTGCCCTTCAGATCCTCTTGAAATTTTGAAGTGATTATCAGAGGTATGGCAATCACGAAGGAGACGAGCCATATTGACGAAATCCACAAAAGAACCTGTTTTCCGCTGGGCGGAAGTTCAAAGGGATGAAGGAGAACGTTACAACGGTAGCAAGCCATGGAAGTAATGGTCAAAATACTGGAAGAGAACGAAACAGTAACCATGGGCCATACAAACTTACAATAAAACGGAGATGTAACAGAACCGACAAGCTGTACGTAAATCAGTGCTGGCAAACAGAACAGGATGAGACACAGGTCAGATACGCTGAGATTAAGGACAAATATATCATTCATGCGTTTCCTGGTTTTTCGAGTGACGATGATCACCACGACTAGAAGATTCCCCGCAAGACCGATGAAGAACGTTGCGAAGTACAGAACGAGTGTTACACTTGGTTGAGTGATGCTTCCTGTGTTGTTGGTCGATGCGTTGTTCATATTGTGAACAAATTTGTGCGTGGGGCGATAAAAAGGTTACAGTAACACAGAAATCTTGGTTACACCGCCGCAAACACAGTCGTCTTTTTTCCCTTCTGTAAGAAACTCCCTCCTTTCGATCGTTCACTAGGGTTAAAGCCCTTATGGACGTTTCATCCTTGCCTCTAAACTCTTTTGCTGAACACAATCAAATCGAATTGATCGATGAATGACAGGTTATAAGTGAAAATCGACATCAATTTTAGCGCGTTTGAATAATAATAATTTGACACTTTCAAATGGCTCCAGAATTTCCAATCACTGAGAACTAGATCAAAGCACAATCCTATCTTCTTTAGTTTCGTAAGCTGAGTTAACATGGCCTTGCGAACGTGATGTTGATGACAACTATAAAAATAGTTCTAATGAGAAAGTAAAATAAATTACCCTATCGATCATGTTGATTACTATTTACACCCAAGCTTATTCGCAAAAGAAGCCCCCTAATACAAAAAAACCCTAACCAATATTTAGTCAAGGTAGCGCTGTTATTTTATTTCATTTACTGTATGACCAACGCCAAAACGTTTGATGACCAGCTTTCGATGTACATACGGTGATTAGTTTACCGCAGCTCTTCACTGCGGAAAGCAGAAAGCATTGAAAATGCACTTATCTCGAGCTGTTAATTAAAATTTATCCCGACCAGTCGGGTTGCACGTTAGAATATTGTAATGTAGAGTATTTTTTTTTTTAATGCTATTCATGTTGATAAAAATTAACATTTTCTTTGCCAGGTGAAATCAGCAATATTGATTTCATTTTCTTCGGAAACCCTTTCTGAAGCGCGCAGGCAAATTTAATATAATGGAACAAAAACAAAGATTAACGATATATTTATTAAATGTACAGTCTGACCGAAGAAAGATGCTTCCGCTTAAAGAACTGACAGTCAATAAATGAATAAAAGCGTATCTATTGACTTTAAACCCATTCACTTCTTCAGAAAAATAAAGAAATCATCGGGGCACACAATACACTTTAAGGTTACAGGTCTTAGCCGGAGATAATACGGTAACTATATGATTTAACAAGCCTTCCATATCTGGAGGCCTTTTCGGCTTTGTCGGATAAAACTTGGCGCAGGCTAATCACTGTTTCGGCAATTAAATAGAACGCTCATGGACTGTTTGCTGATAACCTTGTTAAGTTAAATTACAATTCCTTAATGTCCTTCCTTTCGAGTTTTAATATGGCCATCATCTTGGCAATATTTCGTCTCAAGTGAAATTTGTTTTGACATGTTTAAGCATATGTTTTGCAGTTGCTCTTGGGGCTGGTTTCTTGAACGCCAAAGGTTTCTCAGTCGCATTTTTGAGAGAACTAATCTCAGATCACGAGACCAAACATTGACGTGATCGGCTCAGCGTCCTGCTCTAATGTCCAAACGCGACAATGAAAGCAAGTTTAATCAGAAAGTGATTAAGGAGATTAAAGATTAATAACATCTAAATTACCATTTGCACTTCATTGCGTTCTTTGTGAAAGAAAATGATTCTTTTGCGAGACATGCTTAAGACCTTTCTTCGCAGCAATTAAGGCAGCTTATCTCATAAAACAGGCACTCCTTCGAAATTATTCCATCGGAAGTGTTTTGAGCAGCAATGAATTTCTAACAAATGCCTTGTGGGTTGATACACGTAAGAATTCCGGGCATTTAGGATGGAGTTTCACAAACGATTAATCCCCAGCACCGGCCCCTTTGAAAGGCAATTAAAAAATATTTAGATTATCATGATCGAATAAACAGGCAACCCAATGTTATATTTAGTCGTATGGGAAAACTCTAAAGGAAATAGAAATCTTGTAATCGTTAACTGACTTTTGAAATCTTGGTTATTTTTAAACGGTGATAGGGAAATTGCATTGTCTTTTCATTTGCCATCTTTATGATGCAGCATCCAATTGAAGTCAGTCTGAGGGGAAATAACTCATTATTCAGCAAGTTTCTGATTTACCACAGCCGTTTTGTTGTTTTGAAAGTCTGCCATTTTCGTTCTGCGACACAAATGTGCAGAACATCTCCTCGTAATCTGTTTGTGATTGTCTTCATATCGATCAATTTTTGCGTTCATGCGATAGTATTTCATGTAGTACCAACTTGGTGCCAACGCGAGGGACTAAAATAGCTTCTGACATCGCTTACTTTTATTTTGAACCTTACTAAGAAAAGATATAAGAGAAAACTAAAACAATATCTCGTATTCTCGACCAATTCTTACATTTCCCCTTTTATTGCAATTGCACCGTAAACGACGGAAAGGCAGGAAGAAGGATTTCAAGAATACCGTTTGATTTATTTACGTTGGACATCAGGAGAATCTACTATTCCTGTCTATAAAGTTAAGTATAGCGGACTCTTGGGGCTGAATGAATATACAATAACCGAATCGTCTCTAGATTCTTCTTGTATTTTCGTAAGGGAAGAGCCCGAGAATAGGTCTTCAAATACACATGTGCAAATATGGAGACGGCCGGGTTTCATCCCTCTCAAAGTGAATCTAACCGAGGCTTACGGCAATACGTGTGGCAACTTTTTCTTGAAGGGAAGAGCATATCGGGTCAGCATTATGTTCACGAGACTAGACACGGGATTCCAGAGGCTTTATTTGCATAAGATTAGGTTCCAGTACATTATCGTCCCTTAAGTTCCCCAAATCGCCTGGAAATCGTGCTCTGTGGGTTCCCAGTGTTCCTTGTGCGCATTTCAGCAAACCCTAATACTGTAGAGGGGGAAACTAGATCATCTCAGAAAACAGAAAATCCGCTAGAATGTACAGGAAAATTTGGGTAAAAATCGCTTAAAACCCAAAAACCGCAGGTAACGATGACCCAGACTGTCAAATAGGAAAACCATAGATATTAAGTGCAACAACCGGAAAACTCAGTGTCTCATTCATAAAGTTTCATCACATTTTTGGAACCTGAAGAGCAGAATTGTTACACCTGACCTGATACTATCACTTGTGGATTAACGTCATTCCGTACTGAAAATTTTCTTGTTATAAGTGCTTCCCAACTCTCCGTCAGGAATATCATCGATTCTTGAACGTTTCACCAACTCGTTGTTTTGTTCTTGATTGAACAACTCGTTAGCAATAGTATCGTTGGATATGTCTTTAAAAACGACCAATCATGTATAAATGTTACGAAAACAAGGAAAATTTCACAACACGGAGAGTTTTTTTTTCAGAGCTTGTCAAATGAGGCTTAACTTCATTGATTGGGCATGTGACAGAAAATCATTGAGAACTACGCTTCTAGGCTTGGCTAAATCTATATGTAAGCTACATTGCCAAAAGGAAGACTAAAACTAATTTGCCCTCTGCTTGGCTGTGTTATAGTATATGTTGCGATTTAACAGGTTAATCTATGAACTCATTCTAACATTACTCATTGCTTAGCAAGAGAGAGAGCATAACTGAAATAAATCAGTTTTAAACTGATTTGACTCTTGTTTGTGCAAGCATTTACCCTCGTGTTTAAATATGGAGAGTTGAAAAGTTTCTTTGTGACACTCTAGTGAATCATCTTGACTGAAGAGGGTTGTCTTTGATTAGACACTATGAAGCGCGAAAAAAATTAAGTCAGCCCGAAATGCGTACCTGTTTTCGTCATCCTCTTTCTGCTCTATACGCATTTTTACTTGCATTTATCATGGAGGAGTAATCCACAACTTCTGACCCATCACAGTTCTTACGAATCAATCTTTTAAAAACTGTCAACAAACAAATACATTAAACAAACCAAACCTGATGTCGGACCACTGTATCGCAACTGTCAGCCAATGCAATCGCTCCAAACAAAATAAATTAAACCTGGACTGAATGAATTAAATATAAGTTAAGTAGCACCGGATTCTTCAGACAATAGTGAAAAAAGCTTCGACGGTGTAAACATCCCTCAGCACTTTTTGCAGCGCAAACTGACGTATTTTAGTTAGCGAACGTAAGGATGGCTACGAAGAGAATCTCAGTTTTGCTGTCTTCCTTGTTAGGAGTGGTGCTGGTTTCCATCGTATCTTTGAGTGAAGCAAGTAAGGCAAATTACTTCAAGCCGTTTTTCTTTTTTTAGGACGAATAGTTAAGCAACATATGAGAAAGTTTTAATGAATGGTTCTTTATCGGCTTTGCTGTAATATGCATCTTAATACCTAGTTTTTTCATTCTGTGTGTTGTTTTAAATGTATTCTTGTTCACGATATTATATTTCAACAGATGTACTTTTAACTAAAATTCTCACTACCCATGAAATATATTCGATATAAACATTGGTTTGCTTAAACATGTACCTATACAACGGCGCCAAGCACACGATCCAAGATCAGTTAGTTTTCTTGAAAGCCAAAGAGAAACTTTTGGGCTCCTCAGACAGTTTCTTTATAGTTTGGCTAAAAGCATACTAACTCGTGAACCTGATCCATTGGGGGTAAGGTTAAAGTGATGTAAGATCTAGAAACCAGTGGTAAAATAAATAAGCTATATGAATAAGTTTGCTAAAAGTTCTTAAACGTTATAGTGCAGCTATTTAATCTAAGATGACACGCCAAAAATTTCTAATAGGCCGTGAGTGATCGACATGAGAAAGTAAAGGACGACACGTAGAATGTTTTTACTTGAATCATCATTGCGGGTACATAAAAAAGCGCGCGTACTCTTGGCGCCAGGAGCGGCTCAGTTGACTGTGACATGCAAAATTTCTTGCCAAGCCCAACCACGTATTGTTTAAGTTAGACAAACCGTACAATAGCTTACAAAGAAGAGCTATATTAATTTCTTTTTACGTCAAACAAACTGTAGTTCGTTTACAAAGAACACAAAAGCATATGACAGAAGTTTGCTAAATGTTAAGTTTCAGCTGTGGAATGAATTACGATGTGTAGATCAAACGCCAAACGGCTAAGAAAGCTGAACTGATAGGTTCTTTAGAAAGATCATTTAATTTAGCCATTTTCATAGACCCTTGTAAGGCAATATCCTGTGGAACCATTGTGCAATAAATTATGTGCGTGTAGAAATTGTTTTTGTAATGAACTACAGAGTGAATTTCGAGATTTAAAAACCGTCTTTTATTAAAAGAATCGGTGACCTGTAAAGATTTCCACGCTGATATTCCATGTTCAATTTGTTTCATAACCTAGGTGGTGACCGTTGTCTTTTTACACATAAAGATCTTCCTTGCAATGGTGAGTGGCTTTAACATGTGAAAGAGAGGGGAGGGTGGGAGGGGGAGTGTAGATACATGGCTTTACATCCCCTTGTGGAATGGGGTTGGGATTTCCTTGTAATTTAGGACTGACGAGAAAAATGATTTTACCCCTTATCAGAGGATAGAGAATGCTTTAATGAGACTAAAAAAGGCGTTTAGTTGTCACCGACCTCATTCACTCGTTGACATCATACGAAGCTCACTTATATGACTCATACCAAGAATAAACATCCTCTTAACTCTTCAACTCCCATTAGTGACCAAGACAGAATTTCTCCTTACAACATCAACCAATATCAAGCAGATAAGTGATGAGAATGAAGAGAAATATCAATTATGAGCGGAGTACGCTCTATCAGTTGATCCAATACCAAATTCTCCGATCAAACATCATAAAAATTGTATGGCAGACAGTTAGGAGAATTACTGCTGAGATCTTGGGAGTGAAAGGGTTAACAGAGATCCGCAGAATCACTCTTGACAGGAGCCCATTGCTTCTGCTCTCGAACAACTGTTTTTTTTTTCGTGTCAGTGACACAGTCCTATCTACCCACCTGCCTCAGTTTTGGCAAGATAATTCTGAAAATGCAAATTCATTCTCAGCTTTGAAACCGTGCACAAGTACCCTTAGGCGGTTTAGTTTTCACGGGTTTCGAGTGAGGACATTCGTGCACAACTGGCCGATGAAACTTTTGCAATACTCATTGAAAATCTGACCATCGTCATGATTCCCAGGCTGCAAAGGTAAAGTTTATACATACATGTTTAGAGACAAAAAAAAAATTTTTAACAAGTTTTTCGAGTCACGATAAAAGTCAGCAAATAATCCGCGAACCGAAAAATTCTCAATTAATTTTCTTCCGTTTGTCATTTCCAGTAACAGGAAAAATCCCTCTTCAACTGACTTGCAGCTATCCCGGGAAATGGTTTACCATAAAAAGGGTTACCAGGAAGACCGATCAAGGAATTTGGCAGCAAGTTCCTAAAGCTAAAGGCGTCTTTGAAAAAGATTGCAAGAATAGTCGAACTGTTCAGAAGGGTGCCAACGGTCTGGAGTCTGCCATTTGTACTATCAGCGGCTGTATTCCCGGGATTGATTTATCGCAGGGGGTCAAAATCGAATATTACTGTTGGGAAGTCGGTAAGATTTAGATCCACAGTTTACAGAAGTTCGAATCATGGTTTTTTCGAGGACCAAATCATGACTATAATGGCTGAATTTTCGAGATTTCCTGCCAGATTTGTTTCTGAGCAAGCTCTGATCCCACATCAATTTGTTGCAATTTGCCCTTAGGCTTAACATTGGAAAGAAGTTACCAAGCTGACGTATCATCACGGATTCACAATATCAACCTCGTTCTCAGGGTCCTCTCTCTTTGTTTCTCGAGGGAACGAGGTTGTAGTAAGATGTGATTAAAGGATTCTGATCAAAACGCACATTACTATGCTGTATTTTTTACTGCAGATAGCAAACTTGAAAATTTTTAAGCTTAAGATTTCAAGATGCCTAAACAGGGACACCGCTGTTGTGTAATATTTCTGTAACCACATTGTAAGTTCCCATAGTCTTTTGTTTACATCAAACAGCTGCTCTCGAAATGAATTATTTATCGATTCATTTATTTTTTCGTCAGATCCTGATTTACTTGGAGGCTTTGGAAAGAGATCGCACATCCGAAACCCTGAAATATTTCATAGCACAAAGGAGAACTAGAGCTTCGAGACTTAGCGCCATCATTTAACCTCCATGGATACAACTGTTACAATTTTAAAACTAATCATTCTATTGACCTAAAATACTGTGAAATGTGTAACGTATCGACCGATCACGAATAAATGGCTAACAAGCATTTTTCTGAACGTCGTTTTTAATTGTTAGAAACCACATGAGGAAAATAACTCAGTTCTCAATCCCAGTTCTTTCTCTTTAGACACTGAATAGTTTCCTTGAGTTCATACCCGTTACGTACTAATCGTTACTTAATGTCTGATTCGAAAACAATGTCAAAACAGACGACTCTACCTCGATGGACTTGAAATTCGATTCGCGTCACTTCCACCTCCATCGTCATCATCATTATCTCGCAAAGTTCGTTATCCAGACTTACACAGGCTGACAAAGCTCGTTATCTTAGAAAGCCTTGAGTCTTTTTTACTAATTCTTCTGGCTAGTTCATCAGAAGTTTTTTATTGGAACAGTAACTTAACGATCATATCTCAACGACAAATTTTCTTTGTCCATATGAGCCTCAATCAAATATGCTCTTTGAAACCTCTTTTGGGACTTGAGTTTTTGGGCTTGAGAGATGGCTTCAAATATGGCACCTCTATGTCCTCATCTGACGTTCACGAGCGCGGACCAGCGACTCAAGCGCCCGTGCACGGAATTCAAGTTCCCTCAGTTCTGCCTCTTCATTTACAGTTCCTTCTGCAGGATGTGATGTATCTTCTGTAGTTTGCTGTTGAGCAGTGCTGTTCCCTGGTGAATAGAAGACTAGAAATTAGCACTTCTGAGTAAAAGTAGGAGTGAAAGAAAAGCTTAGTCCCACGTTTAACTAACATTGACCAGCATCTAATTTTTCCTTACAGAAATACTATTGAATTATTCATAAAGAACATGAGAATGAAGAAAATGATCACCAACCTAAGAAACTTTGATTGTTTCATGAATTCTCCTTGTCAGTACCAAAGGAAACGTATAGAGAAGAGCAGAGAGAATATAGATATTGATATTGTATTTTTCTGTAGTAACAAGTCTGAGGAATTAAAAGCTATTTTTAGAGTATTGCAAACAATCTCTCTGAGAACTAGGAGGTAAATTACTGCACTTAAATGATTTTTGCAATGCCTTGGAGTAATTTACCTTCCACAAGTTCATCAATTTCCTCTTGGTTGGGAATTGTGATCATTTCTTGGAAAATGATCATATCTTTCTCCTTCTTTTCTTCATCTTTCCCCTCTTTGATTGATTTACTTATTTTGCTCTGAAACACCAACATAAACAAGTCAGAATTATATTTGATGTATCTCACTTCCCTTAACCCTCCCACAATCTGATTGTAAATTCTCCCCTCAAGCTGCTACATTCCCTTGTAAATTACATACCAAAATTTGGTGTTAGATCAAGATAACAAGTTCTACCTGATAAATTTGAGTATTGTCATTACCTGTTTGCAGGACAATGTATGGATATTATAGGAAGATGTTACATGTTAATCACTTCTATGAATTAAAGGGTTAAAAGTTACTTTATCCTTTCACAGTTTTTATAATTATTTTAAATGTACTCATTCGTTGGTTGTTTTGTGATGTAGTTACAGTTGCTAACAGTCTGTCTACATACCTCCACTCTTTTACTGTCCTCATTCATGGTCTTTCTCTTCAACTGTGTTTCATCAACATTTTCTTCCTTTTTTGTACTTTCATCCTCAGAAGAAGCCATATCTTTTCCAGTAATGATAATCTTGAGCTGTGTCTTTGAAAATGATTCAAGTTGCTCTGAACAGAGTTTCTTCACTTCCTTGAAACTCAGCTTCTACAAAAGCAGAAGGAAGTTCAATTTTATTGGATCTGTGCATCATGAGGATTGCCAGGGAAGTGTTCTCATTAGCAATTTGTTTTGGTAACTGCAGGTTTCACCCCATTGCAAGTTCACCCCCTACCATCCTACCACTGGTAAAGGTGACCTTAGACAATCTGTAATGTCAAAGGAAGCAAATGAGACAGAGAAGTTTGATGAGACAAAAACATAGCTTTATCTGCTTTCTGGCTAGAGAAATGTTACAATAATATTGTGGGAAAGGGTTCCATATCAGCCTGTGCAATTATAAAGTAACGCATTAGTTCCAAAGACAACTTTTTGTTTTCCTAATTTATTTCTCTATCCAAGAACTGTATGAATAATGAAGTGTAGGATTATGGGGAAATCTTACCCAGCTCTGTCTCATATGCTTGCTTCAACATTATAGATAGTCTTGAGTGCCTCCCATCCATCTGTTTTTATGCCTTTTTACCTCTAAACTAATTCTCCTTGGAAGTTTTTTAAACCGTGAGGCTGAATTAGGGGGTGAGAGTTGAGATTAAACCCTTACACCCTAACAGCAGTATGCATGATCTCCATACTGTTCTCCATATATTTCCTATGAGCTGGTTGGTTAGACAACAACATAGCCTTATCTGGTTTAACCCTTTACAACCCAACATCAGTGTGCATATTCTCCATACTGTTCTCTATACATTTCCTAAGGTGCTGGCAAGGAGAATTTGTTTATCAATCAAAAGAATATTTAGTTAGTGATCATTTCCTTTATTCTCACGACCTTACTGTGTGATGCAGGGGTTATACTGTTGAGAGAAATTATATGTTAGTCACTCTCAGGAGTTAAAGGGATAAGAAACGTTTCACTTGTGCGAACCTATACTATACTGTACCAGGTACAGTTATATTGATTCGTGTTCTTTTTTATTCAATACCTTTAAAATTTCCGGCATCATTTCCTTGATTTCTTTCTTAGAAACGATGGTAAACAGCTGATTGTAAAGTTCTTTTCTGTCATCTAGGAACTCTGTAAGATGTTTGATCCTCTCATTGCCGGTCTTATTATTTTTACTCCTCGTACTGATATCATTATTCTCGATATCCTGGGATGGACTGGAAGATTTTGCCTTCTTGCTTTTCTTCCTGTCACTGTCGAAATAATTCGTAGCTTATGTCACAGAGCTTTCTTGAGGTTTCGCAACTATCAGACTGCGATTTCTGACAAATTAAGAATTCAAAGCAATGACTGAAAGATGTTTGTTTACAAAAATATTTATGGTATTTACCGGTGTTTATGCTTTCGTTTCGCAGACTTCTTACTTTTCTCGGCGAGTTGAGTCGAAGAATCGGGAGAAACAGCTTTCCTTTCCATCGATATAATGGAGAAAACAGCCGTCACCTAAATAACTTGGACGCCATTTTCTCTTACAACTCCTGAAGGACATTCGATTACAGCATATTCAACATAATAACCATTCTCCTATGTAACCGCCCCTCTGAAGATTGCAACAGTCACAATATGGCGGATGAGTAAAGGAAAAAAGATTAAAGCTTCGCTAAATGTTTTAGAATAATGCCTTTATTTTTCTGCTCTTCACTGTTGTCAAGAAACTCAAGGTGTATCTTAAATAATCATGTCCGAATATTTTTCAATAGTAGAAGTCGGTTCGTTTGCGTCCGTCAACAACCTCTACTATTTCAAACGATACCTTCTAAGAGTTTAAGTCAGGTTTGCTGCAGATCTTGGTCTTCTTATGCAGTTAGAGGATTCCATACAAGTCAGTCAAGATCTGCCGCTCCACTTGCAGCTCTTCTTGTCAAACTGGCCGGTCCTCTTTCAAAATTGACCAAACTTGTTGCTGTCGTCGGAGGAAGGTAAACAAACATGCATGTAAAAGATAGTTGTATAATTAACACTTATTACTTAGTATTAATATAGTGAATACTTTATCGTTTTATTTTAATGATTAACAATGTTTGTTTTGTTTTAAGGTAATAACGTATTTGTCTGTTATTTTTTAGATCTTTTCGTAAGTGGTGGAATAATTTATCAGCTGATAAGCGTTTACAGCTCACAAAATCATTTCATCTTCGGAAGGAAAGACTGACCATAGTCGTCGGTGGTTTTGGTGGATTATGTATTGCATATTACTTTTTCCATCTAGAGGAGACACCATTCACTCACAGGACTAGATTTATGCCAATCTCTCATCGACAAATGGAGGAACTAACAAATACAGAGTACAGGAATACGTTAGAGTTATTTGCAGACAAAATATTACCTGTGACCGATCCCAACCACCTCAGAGTCTTAAGGGTTGCAAAAAGATTGGTGATGGCGAATGGTAGTAAGGAGATGGAACATTTGTCCTGGCAAGTCAATGTGGTGAATTGTGATGATATGAATGCATTTGTGTTGCCTGTAAGTCTTCCAAGGCTTTCCTCTTTTTTATTTATTTATTTATTTTTTTAACTATTAAGCCTTTTACCCTTTAGAGTGACTAGCATCTAATTTCCCCTCTCAATTTCACCTTTGAATCACCCATTAAGGTCATGAGAACAATGAAAATGATCACCAACAAAGCTCTTGACTGTTAAACAAACTCTCCTTGACAGCACCTTAAGAAATGTACAGAGAACAGTATGGAGAATATACTGGTACATACTCACTGATGTAAGGGTGTAAAGGGTTCCTGCAATAAACAGTGCAATGACCACAAAACCAATAAAGAGATGAAAGATGTGAAGTAAATGCTGTACTTAAGTGAGTAACCTAAATTTTCTACTTTACAGAATGGTCAGATTTTCATGTTCACTGGAATGTTGAATAAGTTACCAAATGATGACTCACTGGCCACCATTCTTGGTCATGAGATGTCCCATGCTATTTTACAACATGGGGTAAATATTTTGACATTTTCACTCCTAATGTGTAAATATTAATTCTCCATACTATCTGCCACACTTTTCCTGTAATTTTAGCTGTGAGAATTCAGTGTTAAATGAAACTATATGCAATAGTTTAAAAAAAATTCATATTTGACCTTTCTCCTTGAAATGTTGTCAAATTGTAAGGAGAAATTACATTTGGGTCACTCCAAAAAAAGTTAAAGTTAATCAGGATTAGTTGGTAATGTGAGTTTTTCTAGGGGTAGGATGTTGACAAAGAGAGAGATAAGGGGAGATTGCTCTTCTTTATCCATCCCAAAATTGCAACGGAATTAGTTCACTACCTCTCTTTAATAGTTGTTTGTAGAAATGATAATGTAACACATCACCCAAAACTTTTATCCTGATGGGAGATTTATGTAAAGCCTTGTATTGTTGCTGTATTATAAGTGCAGTGTTAAGAGATGTTCTTATGGAGCAAAGTTAATTCTAACATGAAAGCCTTTAACAGTTGAATTTAAACTGTAATGATAATCTTTGATGAGAATGTTGTGAAGAAGGTTGAAACCTTTTTTTTTTTTTTCATTGTACATATTGTGTTTGTTTTGTTTTGTTTTTTTCTTTGCAGGCAGAGCAAGTCAGCCTATGTGGGTTCATTAACATGTTTATTGTCATAGTTCTTGCATTACTCTGGGCCCTCCTGCCAACAGAAACAGCTATCTTTGCTCATTGGTTTCAAAACAGAATACTTAGTGTAAGTGCAAATTTATAACAAAATTATTATGTTCTGGTCACACATAACTATAGTGTTAGTTACCAGTGGTAATGTTGCCTTAAATAAGAGTGAATACATAGCAGATTACTTGGCAGAAAAGTTTGGCAAGCCTTCAGTATTCTATTTGGAGAGAGGTTTTCAACTTTTTGAAATATTCCTCAGATTTTTCTTCACCTTCCTTATTCAAGAAAATTAGAAGAAGAGGCAGATGAGGTTGGAATGAAAATGGCAGCTAAGGTAAAAGTTTGAATCTGTCACAGTTTATTTAGAACTAAGCAATTTGATTGCAGGTTGTAACTGTCAATGAGCAAGATCATGGCACTATGCAATAATTGTGCAATGATTTGCACTAAAAAAATTAATATAATCAAATATGACTCCTTTGCTTCATTTGCTATTGGACATCATTGTCAACCTTTAAACCCAGTTACCCTGTCACACAGCCTGTTGACCACTCATTGGTAATCTGCAGCAGTGAGCTAAAGGTAATTCATTATAGGTTCACACCTGTGAGTAACATAAGGAAATTAATTTTCCCTTACATCATCTTTCAGGTCCTAATTTATTTTCTCCATTCCCAGGCATGCTTTAATGTTCGTGAAAGTCCCAGGTTTTGGCGACGATTGGCAATTACTCAAAAAGAAATGGATAAACCAGAGTTAATAAAGTGGCTCTCCACTCATCCAACCCATAGTGACAGGGCAGACAATCTAGAAGCTTTACTTCCACAGGTAAAAAAAGCTATAAAAATTGTTTGGTGTAAGATATCCAACAGGTATAAAGAAATAACTTGTTGTTGTGAATGTGTTGATGGGGTGCTCCTATAAAAGCTTTGACTGGTAAAGTGTAACCATTAACAGCTTTGAACTTACTGTGGGATGGGGTCAATATTAACGTACTGGTAAATTTTGTCTTATTATAGGCGTTAGAGATAAGAAGGAATTGTAACTGCCCTCCCCTGCCAGGTAATGTATTGCTTGTTCTTTCATGGAAAAGTTGCTTGCCCTGTTCTAGACATACCCATCAATTAACTGAGATGTCAGTAATGATAAGTGATGTTTAATGTTTGTGAAAGATTCTTGATAATTTATGTTTTAAAATAATCATATACCCCATTCACACCAGCAAAACATGTTTTGTTAAACTGGTTTTCATTGAATGAAAATTATAAACAGAGAACTGAAAAACTTGATTTTCCATTGGATTCAAGTACTAGCTAACTTGCATTTCCAATGTGCTACATTCAAGTCAAAAATATTCGGTTAAATAGTTTCTATAAAGAAAAAAAAAATTAAACTGTGTTTAACAAAACAACTTTTAAACATGTTTAAGCTTTGGTGTGAATGGGGCAATAGTTTATTTTTAAAAGCCTTTTTATGTAGATTTATTTTGTAAATTCTTGTCTGCAGGGGAAGTGTCCTTCATAACTCCAGAAGATAAAAATGACCATGGATTTTTACAACAGCATTCTCTTCTCAGGAGGCCATCCCCATTGACTGAAAGAAATAAGTTCATTACTAAGTAAACCCACTACCAACTGTAAATTTTGGAATTTTGGAACCAATCTAACCCACCCACATATCTGACCAACCATCAAAAAAGATCCAATGAATTTATGGTACTGTGGTACATTTGATCATCACCTTGATTGTAAACAGCCTGTGAACAGGTTCTTTGCCATGAACAGAGTATGTAAGAGAAGAATACAGCAGTCAATTTTTGGTGTAAAGGCCCCTTAATCCTTTGAGACCTATGAAAGACTATTATCTTATTTTTCTGTTCAGTATCACCCCCAAATCACACTTTTAAGGTCAAAAGAATAGAGAAAATGACCACCAATTAAAGCAGCTCTTGATCGTTAAACAAATTCTCCTTGTTACCTTAGGAAATATATAGGGAACAGTATGGAGAATATGCATACTGATGTTAAGGTGTAAAGGGTTAACCAGAGTCTTCTCATTGACAATATATTTCTTTGCCTCTAGTTCCCTAGAATCTATGATAAAATCTTTACCAGCCAGTTTGAAAGCTTCAGACAAAGTTTTTTTAATTGCGTGCTTATTTTAGAAACATGGCAGACAAAATTTTCAGTTGCATTTTTTTTTCCATGAATGAATAGTAGCAAGTATGCTTAATATTGAAGTCCATATAATCATATGAAAAATCACTTTTTGAAACTACAAATTAAACTAAATTAAACAGTTTTGTGAACTGAAACCTCAGTTAACAGTCTACGACAGTAATTACAACCATTAAGTATCTGAATACATTTTGAGTTCTTGGTGTTTAATAGTGTATTTGTGTATACATGCATCACTAATTTTTCAAGAGAGGTGAAAGAAAGTAAAGGTGGCTCCAAAACATTGATTGAGCACTGAGCATTGACTTTCAAAATTTTCTGCATTAAGTGTTGATTAAATTTTATAGCTATGTGTAAATCTTAACCTTTCACCTCTTGTCAATTTACATGGTACAATAATCATTAAAATAGAATGCTACATGAATTCATAACTCGTTAAGTTTGTGTCTGTTTTGCTGCACTAATCTTTCTTAGGCAAATGTGCCCCTGCAACCACAATGCTGTCTTTTGTTGTCATATATGGGAATAAAGTGCAGTACTGCTAAAAAGTAAGTTAACAGTCCCTCAAAACTTGAGCCTCAATACTCAATTCTCAAACCTCAATTCTGAAAAACTTCCAAGATCAAATCCAGTTTTTGAGACATTTGATCTGAGTTTTTGAGATGCTCAAAATGAGGAAACA